CCCCCCCCCCCCCCCCCCCCCCCCCCCTCCATTCCCCCCACCCCCCCCCCCCCCCCCCCCCTCCCCCTCACCCCCCCCCCCCCCACCCCCCCCCCCCATTCCCCCCCCCCCCCCCCCCCACCCCCAGTCCCCCCCTAAACCCCCCCCCCTCCCCCACCCCCCCACACCCCCCCCCCCCCCCCCCCCCCCCTCCCCCCCCCCCCCCCCCCCCCCCCCCCCCCTCCATCCCCCCCCCCATCCCCCCCACCCCCCCCCCCCCTCCCCCCCCCCCTCCCCACCCCCCCCTCCCCCCCCCCCCCCCCCCCCCCCCCCCCCCCCCCCACAACCCCCCCCCCCCCCCCTCCCCATCTCCCCCCCATCAACCCCTCCCCCCCCCCCCCAAACCCCTCACCCCCCACCCACCCCCCACCCCCACCCCCCAACCCCCCCCCCATCCAAACCCCCCCCCACACCCCATTCACCCCCCCCTCCATTCCCCCCCCCCCCCTCCACCCCCCCCCCCCCCCCCCCCCCTCCAATCCCCCCCCTCCCCCCCCCCCCCCCCCCCCCCCCCCCATCCTCCATTCCCCCCCCCCCCCCCCCCCCCCCCCCAGCACCCACCCCCCACATCCATATCCCCCCCCCTCCATTACCCCCCCCCCCATCCAATCCCCCCCCCCCCCCCCATCCCCCCCCCCACCCCCCCTCCCCCCCCCCCCCCCCATTCACCCCCCCCCCCCCCCCCCCCCCCAACCACTCCCCCCCCCCCCCCCCCCATCCCCCCCCCCCCCACCCCCCCCCCCCCCCCCCCCCCCCCCCCCATCCCCCCCCCCCCCCCCATCCCCCCCCCCCCCCTCCACCACCCCCCCCCCACCCCCCCCCCCCCCCCCCCCCCCCCCACCCCTCCACCCCCCCCCCCCCCCCCATACTCCCCCCACCCCCCCCCCCCCCCCCCCCCCCCCCCCCCCCCCCCCCCCCCCCCCCCCCTCCCCCCCATCACCCCCCACCCATCCCCCCCCCCCCCACCCTTCACCCCCCCCCCCCCACCCCCCCCCCCCACCCCATCCCCCCCACATCCCATCCCCCCCCCCAACACCCCCAAAAATCCCCCCCACCCCCCCCCCCCCTCCCAAACCATCACCCCCCCCCTTCAAACCCTCCCCCCATCCCCCTCCCCCCCCCCCCCACCCCCCCCCACCCCCCCCCCCACCCCCCCCCCCCCCCACTCCCCCCCTCCCCCCCCCCCCCCCCCCCCCACCCAACCCCCCCCCCCCCCCCCAACCCCCCCACCCCCCCCCCCACAACCCCCAACCCCCCCCCAACCCCCACCCCCCCCCCCCCCACCACCCCCCCCCCCCCACCCCCCACCCCACCCCCCACCCCCCCCACCCCAACCCAAACCCCAACCCCCCCCCAACCCCCCCCCCCCCCCCATCCCCCACCCCCCCCCCCCCCCCCACCACCCCCCCCAAAAAACCCCCCCCCCCATCCCCCCCCCCAAAACCCCCCAAAACCCCCCCCCCAAACCTCCCCCACACCCCCTCCACCCACCCCCCCCCACCTCCCCCAAAACCATCCCCCCCCCACCACCCCCAAACCCCCCCCCTCCCCCCACACCCCCTAAAATACAACCCCTCCCCCCCCACCCCAACCCCCCCCCCCCCCCCCCCAAACCCCCCCACATTCAATCCCCCCCCCCCCCCAATCACCCCCAAAACCCAATCCAACCCCCCCCCCCCCCCCCCACCCCCCCCCCACCACCCATCCAACCCCCCCCACACCCCCCCACCAACCATCCCACCCCCCCCTCACCCACCCCCCCAACCCACCACCAACCCCCCACAAACCCCTACCCCCCCCCAAACAAACCACCCCCTCCCAACCCACCACCCCCCAAACCCCCACACCCCCCCCCCCCAAAAACCCCAAACCCCCCCCCCCCCCACCCCCCCCCCCCCCACCCAACCAAAACCCCCATCAACCCCCCCCCCCACCCACCCCCCACCCCCCCCAATACCCCCCCCACAAAACCCCCCAACCAAACCCCCCCCCCCCCCCTTAAAAAAAACCCCAACCACCCCCCCCCCCACCAAACCCCAAACCCCCCAACAACTCCCCAACCCCCCAAAAAACCACCACCCCCCCCAACCCAACCTCACCCCCCAAAAAACCCCCCCCCCTACCAAATCCCCCAATCACACCCCCCCACCCCAATCCCCCCCAAAAACCAACACACAAACCCCTCCCCCCCACCCACCCCCACCCCCCAACAACCAACCCCACAACATCCCCACACCCAAAAACCCCCCCACCAACCCCCCCCAACCCAAAACCAACCACCCCAATCACAATCCCCCCCCACCCCCATCTCCCCTACATCCAAAAACCCCCCCCAAATCCCCCCCCATAAACAATCCTCACCCATCCCACACCACAACCCCACCCATCCCCCCCACCCTACCCACCAACCACCCCTACCCACCTCCCCCCATAACCCTCCCACCTAACACCAAAACATTCCCCCCCAACCCTCAACACAACCCCACCACCCACCCCCTCCACCACCCCCCCCCACCCATCCCCCCCCCCCCACCCCACCCCACCCCCCCCACACACCCCCACCCCCAACATCCCCCCCAACCCCCCAACCAAACCCCCCCACGTCACCCCCCCCAACCCACCCCCCCTACCCCCCCTACCATCAACCCACCATCCACTCCCCCCCCCCCTCCCATTCACCCTCACCACCGTTCCCCCCAGCTCCCCCCCTCTAGTTCCATTCACCCGCCCCCAGCTCCATTCACCCTCCCCCCCACCATTCACCCTCACCCTACAACAGCCCGGGACTAGCCACATGACTCTTAGTCATCCCACCCCTTCCAGCTCAACCCCCCCCCCCCCCCCCCCCCCCAACAACCCCCACCCTACAAAACCCGGGACCATCTTTCCACTCCAAACCCCCACCCCAGCATCTCCACTGCCTACCCTCAAGGAGGTCACATGACCCCCTTCTCCTCTCTCTGAAAATTCCTCATCTGCCCGCCTACATTTACTCCATCTACTGCTCTATCCTACAGAACATTACCTACCCCCACCATGGACAGGGGACACACCCCAGAGGATACTCAACCTCACCCTGGAGATCATCTACCTGCTGACTGGAGAGGTGAGGAGGATTCTGGGAGGTCACATGATGTCACTCTGATATTCCTGAATATTGAGGTCTTATTGTCCATGTGGTCTCATTCCCAGAATTACGTGGTGGTGAAGAAGTCAGGTGACCAGACTGGGGGCAGTAGCCTTTCCGATGGTTTGGGTGGAATTATCCTGAGTCCCATTGCAGTGCTTCCATCACGATCACCGATACAAGAGAGGAACAACAAGCAGCAGAAGATCCTGGAACTGACCAACCAGATCATCGAGGTGCTGATGGGGGAGGTGAGCGGTGCCGGGAATTCTGGGACATTCTCCAGTAGATGTGTCAGGATGGTGACTTTATCGTTGTGTTTGTCAGGTTCCTCAGGACAATGAAGACGTCAGCTTAAATTTTTCCATGGAGGAGTGGGAACATCTTGGAAGAGGGGCTGGAGGTGCCATGGAAGAGATGATGGAGCCCTTCCATGGTAAGTACCAGATCCCAGCCGTGTCCACTGAGGCCACTTTCCCCGCTGTATGTTATGGTATGACCCATATATTTTATACCTGGCATTGTAGATACTAACTGGAGTAGCCATGACGACATTGATAGGCCGAGGCGTCCAATCCCATGTAGATGTCAGATCCAAGGTCAGTCGGGTCTAATCTATGGGTTAGGCCTGAGGTGACCCATACCATGTAGATGTCAGATCCAAGGTCAGTCGGGTTCTATGGGTTAGGCCTGAGGTGTCACATCCCATGTAGATGTCAGGTCCAAGGTCGGTCTGGTTCTATGGGTTAGGCCTAAGGTGTCCTGTCCCATGTAGATGTCAGCTCCAAGGGCAGTCGGGTTCTATGGGTTAGGCCTGAGGTGTCCTGTCCCATGTACTATAGATGTTAGATCCAAGGTCAGTCGGGTTCTATGGGTTAGGCCTGAGGTGTCCCGTCCCATGTAGATGTCAGATCGAAGGCCATTCTGGTTTTATGGGTTAGGCCTGAGGTGTCCCGTCCCATCCCCCATGTAGATGTCAGATCCAAGGTCATGGTTCTATGGGTTAGGCCTGAGGTGTCCCATCCCATGTAGATGTTACATCCAAACTCATGGTTTTAATTACCAAGACCCATACATTTATTACAGAAGCAGACACACAAGGCCCTGGACTCCATAACTCGCTTCAATTATCTGTTTTGGGTTGAGTTTTCCTTTAGAACCACCATGACTTTCCCCAATCATCAAAAGCAAGAGGTTCCGTTTGTAAAGAAACCCCCACCTGCTGAAACCAGTACCCTCCATCCGTTCCGTTCCTCCACAGTAAACCTGAGTAACCTCGGATGGTGTTGAAGCTCACACAGGGCTTCCTCAGGTGGTGGTCTTCGGTCTTGGTGATGGTACACTCAGGCTGAGCACTGCATCCTGGGAGGATGTCACATGGTCCTCCTTACCCGGCAGCATCGATGGAGCAGCAGTGTAACGGGGGTAGCTGAAAGGTTAGTATCCTGGGGTGGAGGGGCCTTTTTAAGATGTATTTTTCAGTTTTTTTTTCCTTTCCCTTCCAGATCTTCGTCCGGCAGATTTCGGGGGATCCCTTGACATGGCCATCTCTGAGCCCAGAACCATGATGGACTATAGCCGAGGAGCGCAGTATATCTGTAAGCCGCGGAAAGAGGAAGGGTCAGCCGATGAGATATGTGGCAGACAATTCTGCCTCCGCAGAGGATGGGAACCTCACGGACTCGGAGAGCCATACTGACTATACCTCGGTGTACGCCAAGAAGGAGCTCAACGCCAGAATTCAAAACACGCTCCGAGGAGACCCAGACCGACTTGACGTTGGCCCTTATTAAAGACGAACCGGAGGACCGCGGCACCAAACCATCTCCCGTGGACTTTTTGCGGGTCGATTACGATTCCATCTTTGCCGCCAGTTCGGTTTTGGCTCCTCAGGAGGCAGCAAGGAAGTTGTACGATTGCACGATGTGCGGCAAAACCTTCACCAGCAAATCCGGGATTGTCAAGCACCGGCGGATGCACTCGGGGCGAGTGGTGGCCTGCCCAGATTGCGGGAAGGAGTTCACGTGTAATTCAGAACTGGTGGCACACCAGAGGACTCACACCGGTGAGAAACCTTTTCCTTGCTCCGCGTGCGGGAAGTGTTTCTCCACCAACACCAACCTGGTGGCGCACCAGCGCATTCACACGGGAGAGAAACCTTATGCATGTACCGAGTGCGGGAAATGTTTCACCAGCAGCTCAGACCTGGTCAAACACCAGATCATTCACACCGGGGAGAAACCGTTCTGCTGCTTGGACTGCGGCAAGGGCTTCACCAGCAAATCCAACCTGGTCAAACACCAGAGGATCCACACGGGTGAGAAGCCCTTCCTGTGCTCCGAGTGCGGAAAAGGTTTTGCCATCAAGTCCAACCTCATCAAACATCAGGTGGTCCACACTGGTGAAAAGCCCTACCCGCCCCGAGTGCGGCAAGTGCTTCTCCAACCAATCCAACGTGGCCAAGCACCAGCGGACTCACTATGGACCCAAGAGGAGGCTCATTGAATGACTCCAGGAACATTTGTTTAAAGCTGATCTCCGGGTTTAATCCCCCCCAACACACCACCATCATTACCACCATCATCACCACCACCATCATCACCACTACCACCACCATCATCACCACCACCTCCATCATCACACACACCATCATCACCACCCCACCACCATCATCACCGACACCACCACCATCATCACCGACACCACCACCATCATCACCGACACCATCACTATCACCACCCACAACCACCATCATCACCACCCACCACCATCATCATCACCAACACCATCATCATCACCACCACCACCACCATCACCACATCACCACCACCACCACCATCATCATCACCACCATCACCACCACCACCACCATCATCATCACCACTACCACCACCACCATCATCGCCACCACCACCATCACCACCACAACCACCACCCCTCACCAGCTCTTCTTGTAATTAGATTTTTTTTTTAAAAATATATTAAATGGACAAAATACTTACCTGAATTCATGGTCATGTGACATGCGGGGCCCTGAACCTTCTTTCTTCTGCACTGAAAAGTAGACGTTCTCAGTAGTATCCCCCAGCTCTTCTGATTCCCCACTCAGTAGTAACGTCCAGCTCTGCTGATCCCCCGCTCAGTAGTAATGCACAGCTCTGCTGATCCCTTCCTCAATAGTAACCCCCAGCTCTGCTGATCCCCCACTCAGTAGTAACACCAAGATCTTCTGATTCCCTGCTCAGCAGTAACACCCAGCTCTGCTGATCCCCTGCTAAGTAGTAATGCCCTGCTCAGTAGTAACCCCCAGCTCTGCTGATCCCCCGCTCAGTAGTAACGCCCAGCTCTTCTGATTGATTCCCTGATCAGTAGTAACCCCCAGCTCAGCTGATCTCCTGCTTAGTAGTAACCCCCAGCTCTGCTGATCCACCGCTCAGTAGTGAACCCCAGCTCTTCTGATCTCTTGCTCAGTAGTAACCCCCAGCTCTGCTGATCCCCCACTCAGTAGTAACCCCCAGTTCTGCTGATCCCCCACTCAGTAGTAACTCCCAGCTCTGATGATCCCCCGCTCAGTAGTACCCCCAGCTCTGCTGATCCACCGCTCAGTAGTAACCCCCAGCTCTTCTGATCTCCTGCTCAGTAGTAACCCCCAGCTCTGCTGATCCCCTACTCAGTAGTAACCCACAGCTCTTCTGATCTCCTGCTCAGTAGTAACCCCTAGCTCTGCTGATCCCCTTCTCAGTAGTAACCCCCAGCTCTGCTTATGCCCCGCTCACCAGCTCTGTTGATCCACTTGTTTGCTGATCCTTCTCTCTCTCTGGTTCCCGCTCACCTCCCATGCTGTGCACCACATGTGACATGACTAGTTTCTCCCGCTTCCTGAGCTCTGCAGATTCTCTCTCTCCGGTTCCCGCTCACCTTCCCATGTTGCATACAAGGTGTGCCATCTGCTACTTGCTCCGCTCTGGACCCTGCCCACCTTCCTGCGGCTCCAGAATATAAATACATGAGCTGGAAGTAACTGCTGACGACGTCTCCCAGTGCATCCTGGGATATCTCAATACCTCCAAAACAAAGCAAAGCTACTTCTGAATAAAAGCCCCTCAAATGCTGCAGGTGCTGTGAGCAAGCGTTGTCATAGACTTCTGTGGAGGCTTTGAAGACGCTTTGAAGCACCAAGAAAGGGACATGGGGTGTAATGTTTGAAGTGCAGCAAACAACATGTGACCAGGACTGGAAGGTGACCACTTTGTTTGGTGACAGGGGCTTTGATTGGCAGAGCTTTAAAAAGCATCCAATGCCACATGTTGAAGCAAGGGTAAAACAAGGCCTTCAAGTCATTCTGTGAGTGGCTATATCCCTCCCAGGTGACATGGACGCTTCTTTATTGGCTGTCCATCATCTGGGGCATCTCAGAGATGTTCTTTCAGGGGCCACACTCATTGGCTGTCTATTGGTGGGGTCAAATCAGAGTCATTCTTTGAGTGGCCACATTCCTCCCAGGTGACATGGACTATTCTTATTGGTTGTCCATTGGTGGGGTCATCCTGAAGACTCCTGCTGCAGTGTGATGGTGTCAGGGGCAGCAATAATGTCGATCTCCACTTAATGAGGAGGTACTATGGAGGGGCCACATGGTGGCATCCTTGGGTGAGTAAGAAAGGGTTGTTAGAGGTTTTTCTTGAAGAAATTGTCAATGAGTGGTGGTGGAGCTGGTGGTGGGGGAAGGGAGGGCCATAAAAGTCCGGAGGTGAGCTTTAAACTTAGAGTATCCTGATTTCATCCACTCACACACTTCTGAGAGATATGAACTTTGGTGAATTTTTAGAAAAGTATTGACTATTAATTGATCCATCTCGGTGGTTTAATCAGCGATCTCTGTGCCTCCAATTTGGACATTTCTATTAGAGGTGACGAATCTCACATGGAGGAGTGGGATCTGCTGTTCTCAGTTGACTTCTGGTCTGGTCTGCTTGCAGAATTGTCAAAGTTCTACTAACTGTTCTCTTATTAAAGAGCGTGAAATGGCCTACTGGTCACATGACCACTTTGAATTCTGGAGAAGACGGGGGAGGGGGGATATAAGCAACTGAAGATCTTAGCCAATTAAAAACAAAAATATTAAATGTGTCTGTGAAGGTCCTCATTTCTCCAGGTCATGTTGGATCTAGTAGTAGTTGGTCTCATATCCAGGTCATGGTGGATCTAGTAGTACTTGCTCTCATGGATTCAGGTCATGGTGGATCTAGTAGTAGTTGGTCTCATGGATCCAGGTCATGGTGTATTTAGTAGTAGTTGGTCTCATGGATCCAGGTCATGGTGTATCTAGTAGTAGTTGGTCTGATGGATCCAAGTCATAATGGATCTAGTAGTAGTTGGTCTCATGGATCCAGGTCACGATGGATCTAGTAGTAGTTGGTCTCATGGATACAGGTCATGATGGATCTAGTAGTAGTTGGTCTCATGGATGCAGGTCATGGTGGATCTAGTAGTAGTTGGTCTGATGGATCCAGGGCATGGTGGATCTAGTAATAGTTGGTCTCATGAATGCAGGTCATGATGGATCTAATAGTACTTGGTCTCATGGATTCAGGTAAAATTGGATCTAGTACTAATTGGTCTCATGGATCCAGGCCATGGTGGATCTAGTAGTACTTGGTCTGATGGATTCAGGTCATGGTGGATCTAGTAGTAGCTGGTCTCATGGATCCAGGTCATGGTGGATCTAGTAGTAGTTGGTCTCATGGATCCAGGTCATGGTGGATCTAGTAGTAGTTGGTCTCATGGAACCAGGTCATGGTGGATCTAGTAGTAGTTGGTCTCATGGATCCAGGTCATGGTGTATCTAGTAGTAGTTGGTCTGATGGATTCAAGTTGTGGTGGATCTAGTAGTAGTTGGTCACATGAATCCAGGTCCTGGTGTATCTCGTAGTAGTTGGTCTCATGGATCCAAGTCGTGGTGGATCTAGTAGTAGTTGGTCTCATGAATCCAGGTCATAGTGTGTCTAGTAGTAGTTGTTGTCATGGTGGATCTAGTAGTAGTTGGTCTCATGGATCCAGGTCATGGTGTACCTAGTAGTAGTTGGTCTCATGGATGCAGGTCATGGTGGATCTAGTAGTACTTGGTCTCATGGATTCAGGTCATGGTGGATCTAGTAGTAGTTGGTCTCATGGATTCAGGTCAAGGTGGATCTAGTACTAGTTGGTCTCATGGATCCAGGCCATGGTGGATCTAGTAGTACTTGGTCTGATGGATTCAGGTCATGGTGGATCTAGTAGTAGTTGGTCTGATGGATTCAGCTCATGATGTATCTAGTAGTAGTTGGTCTGATGGATTCAGGTCATGATGGATCTAGTAGTAGTTGGTCTCATGGATCCAGGTCGTGCTGAATCTAGTAGTAGTTGGTCTCGTGGATCTAGTAGTAGTTGGTCTCATGGATCCAGGTCATGGTGGATCTAGTAGTAGTTGGTCTCATGGATCCAGATCATGGTGGATCTACTAGTACTTGGTCTCATGGATCCAGGTCATGGTGGATCTAGTAGTAGTTGGTCTCATGGATCCAGGTCATGGTGGATCTACTTGTACTTGGTCTCATGGATCCAGGTCATGGTAGATCTAGTAGTAGTTGGTCATGTTCAGCTGGACTTCCTCTTCTGTGAAGCTTCTCCAAGGCTCTTCTTCAATTCTGATGAGTGTTACGAAGATCCTCCAACATTAATATCTACCAACACCTTCATCCAACCACCATGGATTGTGTCAAGGCAGATGTTGACAGGATGGGAGATGTGAAAGTTGTGGAACCCCCTGTTCAAGTTACGTAAGCCCATCCTTGGTGTTGGTCTGGTCTGCATAGGTGTTGATCCTCATAGTCACATGGCTGAAAGTGTGATTGATTTGCTGTCAAATCGTCAGGGTAGAGATTGTAAAACAGTGTTGTATATGGAAGACAGATGGTGTGAAGGTCCTCACTCCTGTTTTCTTCCTAGAAAGGTGTCCCCCCTGGAAGACTTCTCCTCTCTGCCTGGTCCGGTGACAACTGTGAACGTTGGATTTTCCCCAGGAAGAAGAGGAGAATCTCTCCAGCGGGGACACAGATACCAAATCAACCTGAAAACATTTTGTCCTCGCAGTTTCATCCAGAAAAGGTTGTGGAATGAGAGGACGCGGTGGGTTGTGTGTTCGTGACTCTCTTCCTGACCATCATTTCCGAAGAAAGGTTACTCCACATTGAATGGGACCTTCCAAAGAGTACACTGGGGGCTGTACAGGGAGGAGATGGGGGAAGGGGTGCCCCTGGAGAGAACATGGACGGTTCCCCTAGAGGAGGGTATGGATATGTGTGGGGCAGTACCTGGCGCTACTGGCCCCCAAATAGTTGTTGCCTGCACCTGCGGGGCCCCTCTCAATGTCATATTACCCATCTTCTCCATGTCATGTGTCATCCTCATCCTGTCACTTCCCGTCATTCCCC